CCTCTGCTCTATCAAGGTGAACATGAGTCGTCAGTGTGATAAATCATCAGCAAACCTAACCGCACTGTATCATGCATCAGCAGATGCATGACAAAAAGAACCAAGGAGGTGATACTTCCCCTCTATGCGGCATTTGGAGACTGCAGTCAGATGGTCAAACTGCATTTGGAGTACTTTGTCCAGTTTTGGGCACTGTACTTTAAGACAGATGTGGATAACCTCAAGAGGGTCCAGAGGAGGACCACTCGTATGGTTAAGGGTTTACAGGCAAACCCCAATGAGGAGAGACTAAGGGACTTGTACCTTTTCAGCCATAGCAAGGCTGCAAGGTGATCTTGTGGCCGCCTACAAATTCATTAGGGGGACGCAGCAAGGGATCAGAGATGCTCTGTTCACCAGGGCGCTTCTTAGGGTAACAGGGAACAATGGTCACAAACTGACAGAGAGCAGATTTAGGCTAGACATTGGGAAAAACTTATTCATGGTAAGGGTGGCCAAAATTTGGAATGGGCTTCCAAGGGAGGTGGTGCTCTCCCCTACCTTGGGGGTCTTTAAGAGAAGGCTGTATAGGCATCTGGCTGGGGTCAGCCCAGGCAGGGGGTTGGAGTGGATGATCTGTTGAGGTCCCTTCTGACCCTAGCATCTATAAATCAATGCAGGTATCACTATGCTGGTGGAAAATGGAGTGAGGATTTTCCTTGGGGAAGTGGAGAAGGAACTTAGTCAGAAGCAGCTAGGAGAGAGGCTTGGTGTTTTTGATAAAGATTTCCTTTCTCCTCCAGATTCCAACCAACTTGCCCTGCTCAGTCACTCTCCAGCCAGGGCTAGATGATCCTGGAAAGGTGAGTTACGGTCTCAGACTCATTTCACACTCCCTGTTGGTCAGAAGGACAAAGAGATGGTCAGGTGTATTTAGAACAGCTGCCCCCAGCAAGCAAGAGCAAGCTTGTTCCCAAGGGCAGATACCCACTACTAGGATGGGGAGGAGATGTGAATAAGTAAAACCATAAGTGCTTTTCATCCCAGAGGGAAGTTGAGGGAAACTCCCCCCTCAGGCCAAGGCCCAATAACCTCTATACTGCACATATTTCCTTCAGGCCTGCGGAGTGGACTTTGAAGTCAAAGGATTTTGTGCTGAAAATCTGGAGGAGAAAATTCACAAGAGGTATTTCCAGAGGATCCTCTCCTTTTCTCATGCCTCTGAGGCAAAAGGACCAAGTCTCTTCCAAGGTCACATCCCTGCAAAGGGCTCACCTTGGATTTGCACTTCTAACTGAGGTCTGCCTCAGTCCTGGTTTGTGCTTTTTGATTTAAGCTCCTGTTTTTATTTCTGATGCCTCTTAAGAACAGACTGTTCTTTGTACCTGACACCAGAGGTCAGAAAGAAGGGCAGATTCTGTTGAAGAAAGCCTGCTTTCCTTCATTCTTATAGATCAAACTGGAGCCAGAGGGCCGTTATGGGTGGACTCCCCCCAGGGAGGCCCAATCCTCTACTGTCTCTGTGGTGTGCCTCAGGGCCTGGTCATTTCTCATCCCTGCAGGAATTCAGTGAGGCTGGTGATCCGAAAAGTCCAGTTTGCTCCACTGAACTTGGGTCCAGCCCCAAAGGCAGAGACTACTAAGCAGTTCATAATGTCTGACAAGCCACTGTACCTTGAGGCCTCGCTGGATAAAGAGGTTGGTATACCTGTACGGAGTCTGCCCCTGCAGCCTGCTGCACATCACAGAGCGATACTCTCTGAACCGTTAGTACTGGGTGCTTTCCCTTCCCTTAAGAACTTGGCATATGCTGCCCTCTCCCTTGGCTGCTGTAGACGGTTTACAGCAAAAATACGGAGGTAGGAAACAGCCTCTGAGAGTGAGTCTCCCTACCTGCCAAGTCTCCTGACCTATGAGACTCTTTGTGCCTCATATTCTGGAGATCAGAGCTCCACATCTGGGCCTTAGCAGCTGCAGCATTCTGATCCCAGGGACTGCTTTGGGGTTAGCAGGATTTCCCCTGGGACTCAAGAGTCTTCAGTGCTCTCTGAAGAGCCTCACAGCATTTGTCACTGGTTTGCAAACAAATCTGGGAGCTTCACCCCAGCCTGGACCTTGTAAAAGCTGTTTCACCCTAGTGTAACTCTTAAGGGGGTTTAGTGAGAATACAGAGGATTTATTTTCTGTATCTAAATTTCTGCTGCCAGGAAACAGCCCCTTTTTAACAAACCTGAGGGTCAAGAGGGGTTTGGAACTCTGACTGAGCATGATTTCTTCCTTCTCCATGGATGGAAAGGGAAAGGTCTTGTTACATGTTGCATATGCATTTCCTGTGGGTCCCAGAATCCTCACGTTTCATGCCACAAACCTCTCCCAGTCTATTTTAGTCCTTGCTTTGGTGCCTATCAATCACTACAATGTGAGCACCTGCTTGGGTGCATAACACTTGGCTATTTCAAGTTCAGCAGCTCACAACATAACCAACCCCATTGTGATTGCAGATCTATTACCATGGTGACCCAATCAGTGTCAATGTTAACATCAACAACGCCACATCCAAGATTGTGAAAAAAATTAAAATAACAGGTACAATGCACCCCCCAGGCCTCAGCTGAATGTTTTCCCTGCTGCAGTCCTGCCTGCTTCCATATCCCACTTTCATCCTCCTCCACCCTGCCCTTCATCCTCCACTTTGCATATGCCCTACACATGAACCTTTAAAACTCCTCAGGGTTCTGATTTTATAAATAAATGCACCCGTGGGCTCTAAATCTCACTTCTTCCATGCCCCATCAATAGGTGAGCCATGCTGTCTGGATAGCAAGCCTGAAGGCCTCACCTCTTCTCTTCTTTTTTACTGACCTAAGCAAAACAAGGAGCCTGGATTTCCTCTGACTTGGACCATTTTCTTGCCATTGTAGTTTCTTTGACCGCAGTGGTGTCATTCCTGATGGACACCAGTGTATATGAGAGAGAACCACACTCAATTCGAGGGCTACATTAGAGAGTTGATAGTTTTATTAGCCATGATTTGTCCTGTAGTTCTTATGTTTTTCTTAGAGCTCAAGCTGATGGGGGTGGATGAGATTCAGGAGACAAGTGGCTTGCACTCCATGTGTCATGCTCCATGTGGACTGACTAGGAAAATCTCTGGGAACTTCCCCTTGCTTTCAAAGGCCCTGGAAGAAAGGAGGATGTGTGTACATGCCCACATACAGTAGCCGATGTCACTACTGTGATAATATCGTTTTCTCTTTCTCTCTCATCAGTGGAGCAGATCACAGATGTGGTTCTCTTTTCATTGGACAAATATACCAAGATTGTATGTAATGAAGAGATAAAGTAAGTAAGAGGCAGTATCAGGTGTTATCCCTTGAACTTGGCTGGCTAGCAGAGAAGAGATGACATTGCTCTAGCTCTAGGGAGGCCCCAAGGGGAACTGGGAAGTGGCTCAGGCCTCAGACAAACCTGGGTTCTGTTCCTAGCTCTACCTGCTGGGGGTGACTTCAGGCAAGTCCTTTTCTCCTTGAAGGAAGAGGAATATGATAAGAGTGACAGGGAATGAGAGGGGGCAGGAAGGGACATTCTGATGGGTGAAAATAGAGGCATCATATATAGTAAATACTGAAAAACCAAATAAGAGTTTTGGAAAAGATATCAGCCCCCCTCACCCAGCATTAGCCAGCATCTAACTGTGGTTTAGGTGGAAATGGCCAGAGGGCAGATTATCACACAACTGCCCCCTGCAGGGATTCTTATGTCTTCCTCTTGAGTGTATTATGCTGGCCACTGTTAGAGATGGGTCCAGGCCAGTCTGGTCTAGCCATTCTTATGTTCCTCTGTAAAAGAAGAGGTATAGATCGAGGGGAAAAGGGTGAAAGGATGGTAAAAGGAAGGGCACTGGGAACAAGGAAAGGAGGGACATAGGGAGGGGGGGTGTAAGCTGCAAGGGGGGGATGTGAATCACTCAGGGGTTGTAGCCTGATCCAGCCCAAGCACAACTGCTCGGGGGCTACAATCACTGGCTGTTCTGTGGCACAGCAGCAGGTTACCCAGGATCCCAGGTTTCCAACATTTCAGCTGTTTTGAGCTTTCTTCTCTGCACCCTTGCAGTGAAACGGTGGCTGCCAATTCCACCGTCTCCAAAAGCTACACAGTGACCCCCACGCTGGCGGCCAACCGTCAGCAGCGTGGCCTGGCACTCGATGGCAAACTGAAGCATGGGGACACCAACCTGGCCTCCAGCACCATGTAAGAGATGGACCTCCTCCCTGCCACCACTGCTTATTCTTTGCTCTCTTTGCCTGTCTTATCAGTGACTAGAGGCCAGAGAGAAACTTTGCCAGTGCAGCCCCCACTGCTGCTATCCCTACACAGGGTCCCACCACATGGCAATGCTCCTCAGTCAGTCCTGGTCTGAGTTGCTCTTTGTGTTTCTGTTTCTAAGATGCTCCTGAGCTGAGATTTAGTCATGCTGGATAATCAGGAGATTCTGTGATGGGTACAGATACCCACTGGTTCATGATGAGATATAAACCCATGATCCTGACCATGCCCTTTAAATGAGCCTGCAGCACTCTACATGAAAGCAAGTGCATCAGCTCTGGTGCTGAGATTAAATTCCAGCTGAGGCAGTTATGTTCACCGCCTAGAAACTCTTCCACAGTCTCTGTTAGGTATGCTGTTCTTCTCTTCCCAGCCTGTTCTGCAGTATTGCTGTGTGCTGTTACATGCTTGCTTCACTGTGTACTGCTACACACACAGTTTATTGTCTGCAAGATGGGGCACTATGAACACAATGGATATAAAGCAAGTGTGGCAGCATAGGGATGACTGAAACCTGTCTCAGAAAGCTGTGAACTAGGCCCACTCTACTGATCTGGTATATCATATACCAGAAAGTGCTTTTTTGACAGTCCTTCTCTGCTATTTCTTGTAGCCTAAGACCTGGCATGGAGAAAGAGGTCCTGGGGATCCTGGTCTCCTACATTGTGAAGGTCACCTTGGTGGTATCCAGAGGAGGGTGAGCCTCATTCTGATACTTAGACTGGGAGCTTCTTGGGGTAGGGACTGTCCTTTGGTTCTGTGTCAGCACACAGCTCACTGGGGTGCTGGTCCATGTCTGAGACTTCTGATTGCTACCACAACACCACTGCTACCAGTAACAGCAACACACAGGTGATGAAGTAACAATATCCAAGGAAATAGCTCAGTACCTGGGCTTCTTAGTTTATCATTGGACCACCTTATACCCTACCAAACCTTGGGGTAACCAGGTGTTGCCCCATCTTCATGGTATCCATTCTATATGTGAAATCTAATCTGAATGTGAGCCTTGGATTCTCTACCCTTTCACTCACAGGTCACGTCCCCATTTATGCCCCTGAACCTCACACTTACTTATTATACAGCATCCTCTAATGCCTATTATCCTTCCTTAGAACAGGAGGATAGCAAGAGGCCTCTGGAGGTGGATACCTGGTGCTTATAGAAATGCCATCTGTTGCTCTATCCCACTCTTTCAGACAGCCCTAATCATGGTACGCTGAAACTGTGCCAACTGGGAAAAGGAATACTGTCTGTCTGCTCAGCTGAGTCTCCAGTGACCTTTTCACACCTCTTGGTTGTTGTCCCAGAAGTGGAGAGACTCTTGACACATTATATGACATCCACTATTGGCACACCTAGCTACCATGACAGCAACTAGAAATCACATAACTAAGATAATGGTGATAAAATGAAAAGCCTCCTTCTGCTTAAGATGCTATTTTCTACTCCTTCATGATACTTGTATTTTTTTATTATTCTTTGGATGAATTCTGTGTTCTTTCTTTCATTTCCACAGCATCCTGGGAGATCTCACTTCAAGGTAAAAAATGAGTCCATTGACTGTTATCTAATGGAGTCCCTCCTCACAAATCTTGGAATTGGGATGGTGACAGGGGCCCAGTTACAGCGATGAATACTGAGCAACTTCCATCCACACACACACTTTCACACTTTACATGTGGATATGATTGTCAAAGCCCCACACAATCTGTATAGTGCTGTCCTGCAGCCCTTGCATGGCGTATCCTCTTCTATAGGAGCTTTTGTTCCTTGTCTGGCTGTTAATGTGGTTATTTAGTAAACAACTTGTACTAAGAGAACATTATTGGAAGGTGAGGAGACATCTGATTATGCGGAAGTTCTTTGTCTAGCCCAAATCATGATTAAGAGATCTGACCTCTCTGCAATTCACTCTGTGAGCTGAATTTTGAACCCCCACATTGAAAACTGAGGGATTCTTCACAGTGAACATGCAGCTGCTCCCTACCCTGTTCAGGCCTCACAAAAGTTAAACTTCAGTTATGCTTATTATATTGTTAATGATCTTTTTATTGCAAAGTACTGAGGGATGTTTCTGTGCAAGGGATCTATAAGCAAGAAAAAGACAGAGACAGCTGTATCTCTATTCACACTCATGGCAGTCTTTTAAAGTCCAGGGAGTTAACACACTCTTCCTTCCTGACTATCCCTGTGTAATTCTTCCCTTCAAGTGATATGTTTTTTCTTTCAGTGATGTTGGTGTTGAGTTGCCACTTATTCTCATGCACCCAAAGCCAACTGATGGTGAGTGATTAAGCTACAATACCATTTTCATGAAAGAAATAGCAGGAAGGAATAAGATGCATGTTCACAGGGGGGCATCAAAAGACTTACAACATTTTTTCCCCTTTGGCCTGTTGAAGCAGCTCATGAAAACGAACTCAAATGGAAACGAACCCTAAAGCCTTCTCCAAGGGGAGCAGTTTGGTTAACCCTTCTCCTGTTTCCCTGCTTCTTGTGTGGTTAACATGGAAGGTCCAACAATCCTTGAGAGGCTTCTATTATTCCCACCCTAATACTAAACTGAGCTTCTGAAACTGGCCGTCACTGGGTTCTCATGATGTCCTCTACAGTGTGCTATTGATACCATAAGCAACGTGAAAAAGCACTGCCTGTGTTTTACAGAGTCCATTGTGACCCATGGCTTTAGAAATAAGAAGATCTACTCCCACTTACTTTTCAGCCCTGTTCTGCCTATGTAAGGCCATGCAGCAAGTGCAAACTATAAAATGCTTCAGGGAATGTTTGCAAAGGGGTTGCCATGCCTCTAGATTTTGACAGGACCATCTTGTTTCCTTCAAGCTTGGTTTGCAGAAGATGTATCATCATCATCAAAACTGAATATTGCATTTTAACATCAATGCCATAGGTTTGTGTTGAAGGAACTAATTGTAGGGGTGGTAATCTTGTGGCCAGCCAAGAGCTGAGGCCATTAATTTGGGGGATTATTAGTCCCATTTTGCAATTGCAGATTTGAGCCACTAACCACAGGACAAAGAATGGGTGGTCTGTGAACTGAACTTGATGCTTATTTAGCATAATTGAAAGGAAACAGTTATACTAAATCTGAAACTCAATCATGTTTGTAAAAGCAATGGGATTAGCCAAGTATCCACTGAACCTGTTATCCAAACTTCTCTCATGACAGTCTTATTCACTGAGAGGGAAAAGTATTGATTTTTTCTTGAGAGAGAGGGTATAAAATGTTCAAAATATTGCACTCTGTGAAATGTCTGATCTTCTGCTGTAATCAGGCAACTAAAATAGAGCAGCCATTTTCAGTTCTTTGCCTCAGAATGTGTCCTTCCTTCAGAAACATATCAACACCAAGAATATGTGCTTTTTGAAATGTCTGTCTCAAATTAATTAGTGTCCATTTTTCTTTGCTGCTTTGTGGTGCATTTACAACTGGACCATAGACGTGCCAAGGTAAGACAAAGTCTTTTCAGAGTTTATACTGCCATTTTCTATAAACATTTTTAAGTAAACTCATCAAACACAGCTGTGATGAAATAATATGCTCCAAGTCCAATGTGTGGTTATGGAGCCATCCTATGACTATCTGAGACGAAAAGATACAGGCCTTGCAGACTTGTATCCTTGCATCAGAACAGAAACTGTGTGACGTTATAGCTAAAATGAGAAACCAGAGGGGGCCAGGAGAAATCACTGCTGAGCAAGGGCATATGTTTTATAGTTTCACTTTATTTTGTGGGTTTCTGATTTTCCTTCCCTTTGTGGAAATCAGAAGACTCTGTTGTTCAAGACCCAAATCTTTACGCTACTTCATTGTTTTCTGGAAAGAGTTCCTGTCAGTGACTCAGTTTCATTGGTTTATGCGCTGCATGGAGCTCTGGTAAATTTTCTCTGTGCTAGTCCAGATTTCCATCTCTGGCGCCTATCAGCACAACTGGGAACACAGACAATAGCTGTCCCATTGCTGTTGTTTTCTCAGTAATTCCAGCAGACTGCAGGTCATTGAAGTTCAGTGGCTGCTGGAAGCTGTGCTCAAAAGACACTGGCCTATAAGCAAATTGCAACCTAAAAAAAAAAAGTACAATTGTATGCGGAGAGACCAGATGGATTCTTTACAGCAGTAAATCCTGTAGCTATAGTAACTGGCATAGGAAGTAATTAAAACACCCAAGGACTATCCCAACAGTACCTAAACCCAGGAGGAGAATTCCACCAAATCCCACCACATGCCAACAGGCTGAGTTAGCCTTACAAGATGAAGGCCTGCGTTCCCCTGGTAATTCTGTTTAGCTCCAGGATAATCTGTCCAAATCATTTCTACTGTAGAAGTGCACTTCTACAGCTGGCAGATATCTGTGTCAATCAAAGTTTAACTCCGTTACAAAAATACCCTCTGAGATATCCCACCATGCTGAGTCCATCTGTAGCATTGCAATGTGCAAGCCACAGATTCCATCTGCCCAGGAATTTGATCCTTCATTGCAGGACCATGAAAGTCCCATGTTTTTGTCTTGTTGCATCCTGGAAGCTGCTACTGGGAGAGAGATGCTGCTGCTCAGGAGATGTGCATAGACATGCATGAAAATCAGAATATTTTGAGGACAGGTAGAGCCAGGGAGCTCTGTCAAGCATTTTCACACCAAAGAACATCTGACTTTGAGGACCCAATTAGGTTATTTCCTCCTCTTAGCCAGAAGGACCTTGCTGATCTGTCCCATTGCTGCCCTCTTTTATTCCATGCAGAATTTGCTGAGTTATTTTGAATTATTGAAATTTTGAAACCTTGTCTTGCTGATCTTCTTTTCTTCTTTATTTTCCATCTGTTTTGTGGCTCTTTCTGCACTTCTCTCTTACCAGGAGGTACCTAATTCTTTCTCTGTCCACTTTTTGGGTCTTGATATAATCCTGTGATTTAAGAAATCTCTTTAGAAGCAGGGGATGTATGTATGCATCACTGAGGGTCCTGGGTTTAACAGCATTGCCATTTCTGGTAGAATGCCTGTTGAACAACTACTTACTGTTCACCAGCACATCTGGTGTATTGCAGTCAGTGAATTCTTTACAGCAGGAAGTCCTGTAGCTGAAGTAATCAGTGCAGGAAATAATGAAAAACACCAAGAACTGTTCTAACAGAACACATGGCACCAACCTCACCTGCAAGTGTTCAGAGTTCCCTTGGGTTGAACCTGAGTGTGTAGAGGCAACAAAGCATTCCTGAGCTGGGAAGGTTCACAGAGGAGTCCTCTGAGACCGGCTATTAACAGAATGGGCGTTAGCTGGGTGTTGAGTCCATGTTAGGACTCTGGAACAAGTCCTTTTGGTCTGAGAAGGGGCTTTGCCCATTTCACTGCCCTCCTTAGGACTTTCATACTGTGCTGCCAAGGCAGATGGTGTTTCACCAAAGGCCCAGTTCTGAAACCTTACCATATACTCTGTTCTGCTTTGCAGTGAGGAGGACATTGTGATAGAGGAATTTGCTCGCCAGAATCTCCAGGGGGAAAAGGATGATGAAGATGACAAGGAGGAAGCTGACAAAGAAGGAAGTTAACTTGCTACCTGGCCAAAATAGAGTAGTGACCAGTCACCAATCTAGTACACCAGAGTGTGGGACATAGATCTGGTAGTGCAGTCCACAGTGTGCTGTGAAAGTACTCAAACCAGTGTTATATTTGTGATGTAATTAATTCTTGTATCTTCTTTCCTTCTCACCCCCCCCAACTGATCCTTGCACTAGTCCTGATTCCAATGGCATAAACAGACCATATATGTACTAGTGATAAACAGTAACACTCTTTGTATGAAATTGTCATGTCTTGATAGAACAGGAGTCTCAGCCATTTCCACTCACCAGCTGACAGACCTTTATAAATAAAAGGTTCAATTAGAGATGGGATGCTCCATTTTCCTTGGTGTCTATTTTACCTTCTCCTTCTGTTCTCTCCCTTTCCCTCCTTCAGGCAAAGTGTATCTTGAGTAAGTTGGGAATGAATGTGAGGAAAAGGGATGACATATAATAGGGTCTTTCTCCAGGGCCAACAGACATAGCCCACTTGGTCCCAGAAGCCTCTGTCTGGTAATTTATTTGAGAGAAAGAATCATGTAATCTACTGGAGCATCAGGACCAATCACCACCACACTGGGAGGAGAGATTTGTTTTTAGGTTACCAATACATTACCTTTGTCTGTTCCAGCCACCTCCTGCCCCATTTTGGAAGATGGGGTCAGATGGGGTAGAATATTTCCTCTGTTGCATTTCTTCTTAATAGCAAACAGAAACCAGCAATAGTTTACATGGAAAATAAACTGCTGAGAGTCCCCTGGTGTGAAAGGATTCACCTGTTTGCAAAAGAAAGGAGGTCTGGCCCTTACTTGCTGGTCCTGACTAGCACAGCAAGTTCATATTCTGAATGGGACAGTGGCTTTTAATCAGTCCTATTAAACCCATTAATTAATTAATTAAACCCAGCTTTGAATGTTCACTAACAGATAAAGCTCTTGCAGGGCTGTATTTACCTCTGAGGGGTGGTTCTCTAAGAAACTTGCATTGAAAAGGGAGAAGAATGAGGTTTCAGTTCCCAGCCAACGAATCTAGCTGTTGCAGACTCATTTGCATGTTTTTGCAAAGGCTACACAATTACTTTTTTTTTCACATACTCTGAATATAAATGTTGAGAAGAGATGTAAGACTACAGTGAAGTCCAGAGAGCAACTGCCAGGCACACATTCACTAACACCACTCCAAACTGAGTAAGAACAGCACACAGCATATGCCCTGCTCTTGTCACTAAAGGCAAATGAGATGGGTTGAACTGGGAGCAGTACTGCCATAGTACTCCTGGACAGTAAGATTACATGGAGACTAACCTATATTTCTAAGTCCAGAGCCAGCCTGCACAGCATAGAAAACATGGCAGCTGGAGGGGGATGACAGCTAGACATAAGGTGGAGCGGGCAATTACTTTAACTAACAATTTTAACTGATGGGACTATTGCCAAGGAAACATATTACATTCTGTTCCTGTCACTTGCCTGAATGCTGCAACGTTCTTCAGTATCTTTCTAAATAAAAAAGCTGTAAACTAAAATGTGCTGGAATCAAGTTTCTTTTTGCTTTTGTTTTAGCATGAGCTTTTCCTGCCTAGGCAGCGAAGAGCCTGGAGGCAAGAGGTCAAGATGAAGCACAAGTTCCTATTGCTTTTCCACAACCTTGTCACCAACACAGACCCAATCTTCCACAGATGGGCCAAGGTGTCACACACGGTTTTTGATCAATATGGTATGAAGGGAGAATGGATTTAGGTCTAGGATATGCTGTAAACTATCCCTGCAATATACATGCAACACCCTCTATCAGCCACAGCCTGCTGAGGGGTTTGTCTGCTCTAGAATCAGGTGATGTGATGGAGCTGGGATCTCTCTCCCCGCTTCTCCCAAGTTCCCAGCTAGCATCTTTTGGCTTATATGAAATTACAGGAAGAGAAAGCATTTACTGGACCTGGTGACTGGCATGGCCCAACTGTAAGGAAAACTTCTCAATATTCAGCCAGGTAAGACTCAAGGCAATTATGTGCTGAATAATGCTTAAATTAATTAATTCGGCCCTGCTCTTTGGCACTGGCTGAAGAAAAGATGGTACCAGTGAGATCGTACTGGTCATTAACCTTTGACTGTAAACATGACAACAGTTGACTACAACTCCTGGAGGGTGCTGCAGCCAGAGTCAAGTGCGTTATGATAAGCTAGGTACTGCGTAACATGGTTCCTTGACATCTCTTGCCATATCAGCAAGTGCAGAGGCTAGAAACCGTGCTGTATTTTAAATGGAATTTTACAGAACTTGGGATTTGGAGCCAAATATAGTAAAAACTAATGCACTCGACAGTCTCTCCTGTTAGTTATGAAACGCTGTGTTTTGCACTTTCCCCGTGTTTCATCCTGCTGCGCTGAGGAAGCTTCAATAAGGAAGCAGGAGTCTTTTGGCAGTCAGCAAGGTTTGGCAGCTGGGTGTTTCTGCTGAGATGGGCACCGCTAAGGTGAACTGTTGTGCTCAGACTCCAGCCCAATTACCCCAGGGGGGACAAGGGGGTAGTTCCCAGCTTGCCGGCTGTCTGCACGCTCTAGCAGACCAGGTGACTTCAGTGCCAGCCCAAGCTGCTCTCGCTCCACGGAGGCATCGTGGTCCAGGGAACTGAGAGGTGTCACAGGCCTCAGACAAGCCCAGGGGCTCCTCCTGCCTCCCCCTGCCTGAGGTAACCTTGGGCAAGCCCCTTTCTCCCCAGCTTCATAGTTTCATAGTTGGTAGGGTCGGAAGGGACCTGAGCAGATCATCAAGTCCAACCCCCTGCCATGGCAGGAAAGAGTACTGGGGGCAAACAACCCTAGCAAAGTTTTCATCCAGCCTCCTCTTAAAGACCCCCAGGGTAGGAGCCAGCACCACTTCTCTTGGAAGTTGGTTCCAGATCCTAGCTGACCTGACAGTGAAGTAGCGCCTCCTGATGTCTAGCCTGAACCTACCCTCTGCCAGCTTGTGGCCATTATTTCTTGTCACTCCTGGTAGTGCTCGGGGGAACAGGGCCTCCCCCAATGCCTGCTGGTCCCCTCTGACTAGTTTGTAAACCACCACTAGATCCGTCAGCCTTCTCTTGTGGATGCTGAACAGGTTCAGGTCCCTTAGCCTCTCCTCGTAGGGCCTGCCCTGCTGACCCCTGATCATGCGGGTGGCCCTCCTCTGTACCCTCTCCATGTTGTCCACGTCCCTCCTGAAGTGCGGCGCCCAGAACTGGACGCAGTACTCCAACTGCGGCCTGACCAGTGCTGCACAGAGGGGGAGGATCACCTCCTTGGCCCTGCTTGAGATGCATCTGTGTATGCATGACAAGGTATGGTTGGCCTTCCTGACTACGCCCCCACACTGTCGGCCCATGTTCATTTTGGCATCAATAATGACTCCAAGATCCTTTTCTGCCTCTGCACTGACGAGAAGGGAGTTCCCCAGCCTGTAGGTATGCTGCTGGTTCTTCC